TTTTGCAAAGGAAAAGACTTACATCATGTTATCATTCCATGTATATAAATGTTCCTCATGTTAGCGCTTAAACTTGTTGTTTTATACATTTCCACTTAAAACTCTGATAACATTGTTATTTTTCATTGTTATAATCAATTGAGGTAATATTCTACTACTGTAATAAAGTGATGTAAGAAATGACTTAAAAATGTTGTAAGCTTTATTCTCTCATTTATGATCCTGATGGAAAATGTGGATTTTGAGTTCTCCCTTGGGGTGTGCTTGACTGAACAACATGATTTAGTGCACTCTCTTGGGTACTTAGTGTCTAATGGAAGACAAGTACTCTTAGGAGGGCATTAGATTAGGCGGTTCTGCCACAATGTTTTAGCATTTTAGTAGTTTAAAGCAAGACGGTAGGGAGGGGAACTAGGACTTGCCTTCGTCAATGTCACCTTCTGGCACGTCTATGAAATTCGTGTCTTTGTCCTCTTGACGATTACCGTTGTCTGTCGGACGTATCGGTCGAATAAGACTACCGCTATACATGAAAGAAAAGGAAAAAGCAAACATAGAACTATAGGTTGCACTAGGTGCAAATGGTAGGATTTGATTTTAGATGAAATTTAGAAGTGGTTTCATACAAAAAGGAGTTAGGGTTTAAAAGTTATGAATTTTAGAAGTTTATTCTATAGCTAATTAACTAGTGGGAATTTTATATGCATTTTCTGGTGCATAAAAATAGGTGCAAACTACATGGTTAATTTCCTTAATGCATCTAGTTTATTTATAAATTTACTATGAATTTTTCTAAGCTATGAAAATGCATTTCTAACTCTCTATGTACACTAGCCGGGTGTACCCAACATTTTCTAAAGTGTTCCCCGCGTTGTGTGTGTGTGTGATGATAGGTGGGCCACCTGCTTGCATCAGCAGTGACAACGGTGTCGGCTTTAAAGCCATGGGCCCATGTGTCAGTGAAGGAGGGGGAGAGCGGGAGGGACTGATAGGGACAGAGGGGGACGACAACATCGTTTCCTCCCGGTCCCACATGGCGGAGACAGAGAAGGGGGAACGGCGGTCGATGGAGGTGGCTGCACCGGTGACAGAACCGGGGAAGGGAGCTAGGCTCACCGGAACGGCTTACGCCGGTGGCGTCGGCCCCTAGAGGTGGTGGATGAAAGGTTGACGGGGTCCGCAGGGTCACGCCACAGCCGGTGGCAGGGTCACCGTCGGCAACGAGTGCCCATGGTGGCGGTGGCGGCTCGCCAGAGTGGTCACGACAGTGTTGTGGACTAGACTCGGCCCTAGAGGCCCTATACTACTTAGCTAACTACATGTATGTTTGTGCGGATGAACAAGACGTGCAGTGGGGGTGGTGATGTGCCCTAGGGTGGCCTCGCCGGTGATGGCCGACAACCATGGCGGCTCGATAGAGCGGGGCTCACGCGGGTAGCGCACTACAGAGACCTAGGCTACTAACTATCTATAGAAAAAGGAAAAGGTGAAGCTTAGGGACTCACTAGTCGCTCCAATCGGCCAGAGACACAGCGGAGAAGGAGAAGAGAGGGGGCGGTGCTGATGGCACCGACGGACTCCCGAATTGGGGAAAAGTAGAAGAAAAGGGGAAAGAGGAGGGGAATGGGGAAGAGGAGGGGGAGATGAGATATTCCTGCCTCGGTAGTGCTGGTGGTGGAGAGGGTGAGGCGAGAGCATTGCTGGCTAGGCCTATTTATGGGTCGGCTAGCAGGTGTCTCGGTGGCGAGATATTTCTCGTGGCCATCCTTATCCAGCATGCGGGCGCGCCGCTGACCTTGTCTGGACACATCGCCATGGCTGGCGCTCGCCCATGCGCATGCTAGAGTGCCTTGGCGTCTACTCTGGTAGCTTGGCACGATGGCGACCATGGAGCCGACCGTTGATGCGTTCACGGTGAGGGGGAAGAGGGAGAAGAGGAGAAAAGAGGGTGTCGTGGGGTCTCGCTGTCGTCGTGCCGCCATTGATGCTCTCGCTGGTACCGAGGTGGTGCTGAGCGGGCGTTGACGCCGATGTTGTGTGCTGCGTATGGCTGCCTGCCACGAGGTAGGCGACGGAGTTGATGGGCGGGGCCGGGTGTCAGTTGGAGGGGAGGAGAAGGGGGAGCGGGCGAGGCCAGGGCCGAGCTAGGCCGGCTCGCGCAGGAGGAAGGGTGGGAGGAGGGGATGGGCTGGGCTACTATGGTGGGTCGAGAGGAGGGAGAGAATGAGCCCGTGAGGCTTTTTCCAATTTCCAATTCTCTTTTCTATTTCCTAACTCAATCATACATATGTTTAAATGATTTCAAATTTAAATTTGAATGCATGAGTGTGTAAAAAGGTGCCACCATAAGTTCAACAAGTCGAGCAATCATTCACATACAAAGTTTCACACCTATATTTTTATGTTCCTATGTTATTTTATTTATAAAAATTATCTACGTTGGTTATATATGTTATCTCCTATGCAATTTTTTAAAAAGTTCAAATTTTTGTGATTTCTAAATCTAGGTCAAATTTTAGGGTGTTACAGGTCACATGTCGGTTGAATCTACCCTGATCGGTTTATATGATAAGTATTACAAAGATTGCGATATCTAGCATATCCGAACAGATTTTCCTTCATGGTTAAGGATCTTCACGTAGGTCCTATGGCGCATGCCGACCTATGCCATGCCCCGCATGGGGTAGTCTTGTGGGCTTGGCCTCCCCTAGCGGCTCGGCCCATGTGAGGCCCTGTGGGTATCGGGGGTCATACCCCCACAACGCCTTCCCTAACCTCTGGTGAAGGTGGTCCCAAGAGGTAGTGCTCAAAAGATTGAGTTTTCCTCATCAATTTAACATATTTTGAAAAACATAAGAAAAGGAGGAATTTAGGGAAACTCAAAAGTCATGGAGCTCAAGGGAGAATTTAATGGAAGAATACCCTAGGATTGCTCACCTATGTCATAGTAGCATTTTGGCCCCAAAAATCTGACCCAAATCACAGCCGAAAGCGAAGAACAAAAAATCCCAAAATAGCTCTCGAAAATCATTGAAATGATAGAAGCTCAAGACTTAAGGGAGATAGAGCTTACAACACAAAATCAAATCTTTGATTAGAACTAGATGTTTAGAGACAAGTAGCCACTCCTAACAAATCAAAGCTTTGGATGGCAAAAAGCTCAAGAACAATAGCCTCTCTTTCTCTCCTCTCTCCCCTCTCTCTAACACTAAGCAAAATTCTCAACCACATAAATGAGAGCCACATCCCAGAGTTGTATTCCCACAAGTAGTCATATTCCATATATATACAGGCAGTTGATAATTCTCAATTGCACTTACATGATATACTCAACCCAAATACACCCCAAGGGTAAAACCATCCAAATTGTTGTTGGTGCATCAGACAGACCTGATGTTTTCATGACTCAGCTTCGCCTCAACGCATGCTTCATGATGATTCCATTTGTCCTCCAACTCGTGACCACGATGTTGAGTTCCAAACCAGTCATATCTGCCATAGTGGTTTCAAGGTCCAAACCATCAAATTGTCCATGCTCGGTTTCATGGACCAAACAAGCAAACCCTCTTACATGCCCAACAAGGTGTGACTGAACAATGTCGATGCATGTTGAACCTGTCCTCGGTCTGATGGTGGACAAAATGCTTGTGATGCCTCGCCTTCACTTGGTCTCACCCTCCCTTGACTCTGGTCAACACCGTCTTCATCACCCATGTACTCTTGCTCTTCCATGTCCCAATGTGAGCCTCTCATGGTCTGTTCTCACACTTTTGGTCCTTCGATCCAAGTTTTCATATGCTCTCTTCACCATCCTTGGTTCATTGTGTATGGACTCTTTCCTTGACCTTCTCCATCACATGTTGACCACCTCAACGCATCTAACACCGACACACTCACAAGCCCCAAGAGGCCAAGATACACGTTGCACAACACACTCAACACAACGTGGTGCCTCGAGTTAGCCATTAGCATAAACAAGCACATTTGAAATATGAGTTCAACCGAAGAAGCCTCAAACCTCAACCCTTGAGTCAAAAATTCATCACACATGGATGAGAACACTGCACTTTTCATCTTGGTCTCTCAATCTCCGCCTTGATGAATGCATAGAAGAAGGTTTAAAAGAGAAGAGAACCCCCCCTCATTCAAGTGTATAAAAGCCAAGTAAAAGCAAACACAAAGCCACTTAATATGAGAAAAGATCATGAAAGTTTCAAGTAAAAACTCTCAGTTTGAAAAGAGTATGCAAGATAAACATAATGAAGAGTCAGATAAGCAACACAAGAGCCTCATGCAATCCCAAAAGCTCTCAAAGCCACAAATCAAACCAAAGTTCTTATAACTTGGTTTCACACTAATACACTGATAGGACAAAATTGTGACAACATCCATGTGTCACTTTAGCTGGCCCTTATTAGGGGTCCAGGCGTGGAGCTGCCTAATGCAAGTAGTGCCTGTAAATCCGCACCCGGAGATACTCCAAATTGTAAGTCTGTTCTGGTTTGACTTTTCTAGACACATAGTTTCTTCTATGTATCTAGACGTACATAATGTATATTTAGATGCATAGCAAAAACTATATATATCTGGAAAAGCCAGAACAACTTGCAATTTGGAATGTAGGAAGTATAACGGGTACTAACGTTTCACACCATATCCGTTAACGAGTATCCTGATAGTACGTTTAGCTTATATAGTAACTGTCTGATCTGAAAGGTTGACCACTCATATGTTGTATAGGACAATAATGGCATTTGCCAATAGAAGTATAGCTAGCACTTCACTTGTTGGACATGTCAGGAACAAAGTTTTATTGCAGTTTGGCAGATACGAGAAATACACAAAAAGTGTGTAGTACAACGAATGAGAATCAAAAGAACGGATGAAACGAAAAAAGCGCAACCTTATGGCTCATTTGATCTACGGACAAGTATGTGTTGGGCGGGCACAGCACACGACCTCTTTCTTGGATTTCCATTGTTGTAGGTACGGCAGCTGGCTTAGTATAGGCGGTGGTTGACGACGCTGCACTTCTTCCTGATCTCGCCCTTGCTTCCGGCTGGCATGGGCAGCTTGCTGAGCTTGAGCAGCGAGTCGGAGAAGTCCTCGTCCCAGAGCGTGCCGTTCTCGGCATACTCGACGACGTGGCCGAGCGCCTCCTTGTGCGTGAGCAGCGTCCAGTCGGAGTGGAAGGTGACGATCTTGGCGAGGTTGTTGTGGTAGAAGGAGTTGTCCAGGAAGTCCGGGATCTTGCGCACCCGGCTGGTGAACCCCGGCGTGAACCTCGCCACCACGCCGTAGTCCTCGTCGCGGATGTTGTTGTCCACGGGCGGGTTGGACCCCTGGGAGCACTTGTAGTTGAGCAGGTCGCGGTACGCCGGGGTGATCTGGCTCGACGGCTCGGAGAGGCGGCCCCTGATGGAGGAGCAGTGGCCCTGGCCGATGGAGTGCGCCCCGGTGAGGATGACGAGCTCCTCCACGGTGAAGTTCTTCCTGGCAAAGTTGTCGATGAGCTTCTGCACGTCGTCGGTGGAGTCCGGGAGCTCCGCCTGGGCCTCCTCGGCCTTGGAGACGAAGCCGTCCAGGCGTCCGGCGGGGACGTCGAAGTGGACGTGGCCGTTGCTCAGGACGCTGGCCGCGTCGCGGGCGGCGTAGATGAGGATGTCGGAGCAGGAGACCACGCCGGGGCACCTCTTCTCGACGGCGGCCTTGATCTCCTCCAGGAGGTCGAAGGCGGCGAGGCCGATGTTCACGGGCGCCTCCTTCTCCGGGTGAGGGTTGTCGGAGGAAGCGTCCAGGAGGACAGAACCATCGCACCCCTGCATGGATGTCCAGTTTAATTAGTTATTTAGTTTAATTACCGTCAAGTAGTTATACATGCATTTCACGCCACACGCTTTACTATAATAAAATTAGCAGGCGTTCATGAATGCGCATGCTTGCTTAGTGCTTACCCTGACGTAGCAGTCATGGAAGAGAAGGCGGACGAGAGCGGCGCCGGTGCGGCGGTTGGCCTTGAGCGCCCTGATGACGTGCCACTTCACCACGTTCTCCACGCCCTTGCACTTCTTGCTGTAGTAGCCGACCTCCAGCTCTTTGGCCTGCGCCGACGGCACGGTGGCCAGGAGGAGCACCGCCGCCTGGACAGCCACAAGGGCGCAGAGGACTGCCGCCGAGAGCTTCATTTTCCTTTCCTTTCTGAAGCTCGATCGGCTAAGCCGGGTGGATAGCTGATATGGCTGAGCTCAGGGACAGGTGCTGTGCACTGTGATGTTGTGCTTTGAGCTGGGCCTGCAGGGGTATATATATTGCCGGGTTTGGGCAGTAGTTTAACGGTTAATGATTGAGCTTGCCGCCGATAATGAGATGGGAGAGCGTAGGGAGGGAATCACAATGTGCCCATAATGTTAGCTTCATAATATAATGCGTACCTAAAAGTTTAGGTGTGCCGCGTGCTGACCTGGTTAAACGTGATATTATTGACTGATATATACAGCCAAATAGAGCTGTCTTCTAAAACTCAATGTTCTTCCTGTTTTCCAGGCCTCCTTAGCTGTTAGCCTGTGTTAGGCTAGGGCTGACTCTAGTGTCTTCACCGTGCATATATCCAAACAATTTACTTCTCTTCCTATAGATGACATTTTGTCCACGTAGTGAATAATTCATGATCAGATGGTTAGTGACACTAACCTAAAATTTATTTTAGAAGGAAATCTATTTTATTTACATGGGCGGTACAACGTGTGTCTCCAAAAAATACCATAGAATTTAAGGAAAAATAGGCTATTTATAGAGACATTTTATTAAACAACCACCTATGTAGAAAGGCAGGTGTTGTAAATACTTGATTTATAGAGGCAAGCTTTTTATGATGTCCGACTCTGTACCTAGGGAACCAGGCATATAGGGCCAATACTACCACCTTTATAAACTGTGTTTGACCGTCTCTGAAAAACCTTTTCATAATAGTTTGTGTAACACATTCATGTAGATACAACAATGTCGTGTAACTCAGGGTTTTGAGCTAGGGCAGGCTCAATAAGTATTAATGACTTGGATGTAAACTTACACATGACACATGGATGCTAGGTACGCGTGAAAAATAGATTTAGTGCTACACCATCAAAACCGTATTGTTGTATGGTCGCACATACCACCAGTTGTGATCCGATTACTGTAGGCCCTCGCTGGAACACCTACCATACATATGCACGTCCAAAAAAGGTATCACCTAACGTGTTCAACAACCCTAGCTATCGCATATTTAGCGTTCTTAATTTCAAGCTAGGCATCACCTAACGTGTTCAACAATTAGCTATCATGGCCTAAGTAGGCAAAAAATTTAGCTTAATTTCTTAATTTCATGTAATTAATTATTTTTTTAGCTACATTTAATAGCGTGGAGTGTCGAAGATTTGATGTAATAGAGAGAGTGGTGTGTTGCAATCTAAACAAGCATGGAGAACGAATCGGTGGTGTGTTGCTAGCATATGAATCGTTCAAAGAAGAGCCAGTACGACACGTTGGCGCCTGCATGCTGTCACATCTCAGTTCGTTAGCGCTAACTGGTCGTTGGTTGGTCCATCCGTGATGCGTGGACTGCTACTCTGATCTCGCGCGCGGTCTTCGCAAAAGCCCAAAGTGCTTTTCGTATATCCATGCTGCTGTCAGTGTCAGGCAGCACGGCGGCCTCATCACCGTTATGAAAATGGAAACTTGGATCGAAAAGCTAGCCGGGGACATATTTTATTTGTTTGGACCACGGTTTTGCACCAACTCCCATATATGCTCGCTCAACTGTTGTCGTTTGTGTTGAATGATTTCAGCAAAATGCAGAAATTTATTAAAGTTACGTCCTAGTAGTATATATATCGCTTAGAGCTTGATTTCGCTAGTTTAATCGTCTTCCCACAAATCACTCTTTGGAACCATTCCACATAATGAACTTTTTATTAGATGAATTAAGTCTTTTGAGAGGAATAATAGTATTTTTGAGAGGAATAAACTTGTTTCATGCATGTAAGAACAAAAACGTGATCAAATATAAGTAGTAATAACCTGCCCAGGTTTTGCTGCGATAGTTATGGTTCGTTCGTTGCTGCCAAGTATAAACTATGGCCATGGTTTCTGCCAAATTTCATACAGTAACATGCATGTAGCGGATGATTAGATATAGTTGTAAGAGCATCTTCATGATTCTTTCTAAATCTCACTTTCTAAGTTACCATTTAGAGAGTCAATTGCATAAAAATCGCTTTCTATATTATTTTACTCTCCAACAATTTTTCTATATCTCGTGTGCACTCTAGAGAGTCATTCTTATCTTCTATTTTTGGCTAGCGAAAAATCTGAAATAGAAGATGGCTATATTTGGATAACCATTTAGAAAAGCTGTTGAAAGGTAGTTTTTCATCAAAATATCTATTTCTAGCATTTAGGAATGATTTATAGAGTCTCTTGGAGTTGCTTTAAGCGCAGGACAGCTGTCGCTGTACGTTCTGCACTCAAAATTAATAACAGCTGTGCAGTTTTTAATTAATTTTACCCTTAGCCTTGCTAATGAGTGGGAATAATTGGGGGAAGTGTTGCTACCAAGCTTAATTTATTTTAAGTTAAAAGTTTGGCGTCCTCCAGATCAAAAAAAAAGTTTTTTTATACAAAAATCCAGCTTCCTTTGAAATGGTATATATGCTCATAGACTGATCGGAAAAAAAACATTTCTAACCTGAAAGTCAGCTTCTCATCCGTACTTTTTTTTTCTTATATAAGGACCTAGCTGTAGCCCAACTTTTGTGATGTGTTTTTTGACGATTACTGTAGTTCTTTATGGGTGTTAGCTAGTCAATCGACTACGAAAGGTCTATATGGAATTTAAAATTTAGAAAAAAGAATATATTTGAATTTCAAGTTCAAAGTATGTATACACATAATCATTATGCTGGCACAAAATCACAGCCAGTAACTCCCCCTGGCTCAGTTTCTTGTTGATCTCCAGTGCTACATTTGTACAGATCTTTTCTTTTCTAAATAAAAGCTTTTTCCCGCTATACTTTGAAGCCGCTAGCTAGCTGATGATGTACGTCCGACGATTGTGACAAACACACGCGGGTGCGGGTGCCTCCCCACTTCCAAAGAATGAAAGAAATAAATTAACGTTCCCTCGAGGTCGATAACCATATACTAATATACAAATTGAAGTAGAGAATTTACAAATGGGGCCGACAGGTCACGAGTCTTCACGAGAGATAGACTATATAGCCCAACTACCATGATCGATGGAGTTGATGTGTATATCATCCATAGTTTAGCTGTCTTGCGCCAGTGGCAAGGGCATATCTGCTTTATTCCCCTACTTGTTCAATAAACAAACTGGCTGGTGACTTTTATTATTGTTCAACAATCTTATCTTATCTACCCACGGAAAGACGAGCTATAGCTTACCTCTGGAGCACATCACATGCATGCATGCTTCGGCCAATGCAATGCAAGTTCCTTCCAGGCACGCATACCATCAGCATGTGCAAACTCTATGCATTGTGTCGTCAATTATACTTAAGCAAACATATTGTTTTGGTTAATTTGAGCCGGGGATCATGCATACGGTTCCATGGACAACAACTACAGTCTAACATGCATGGAGGCCGGTTTGGTGGTTTTAAATTGCATTGGCTAAACAATTGTTGCATATTATTTTTTGAAAGAGAATTAATTGTTGCATATTACTATGAACGACTGTGTTGCATGTTTTAGCTAGCTAGCTAGCTCCAAGGTGTACGGTACGGTAGTGTATGATTTGCACGATCGATCGATGTGTGATGGACTGTGGCGCACATGCAAGCAAAAACTAGTGCGTCGTCGTCGCTGACCCTTCGATCGCGTGGTGCTCTGAATCATGACGTTTCGGTCCATGAGGGAATGCGGTGGGCCGGGGTACGTCGTATATACGACATTTTCCACACGGTTGTTGATATACGGAATCCCTAAAGTTCATACTGCAGTCACAATCATTCCTAGACAGACCGAATATTAAGGGCAGGAAGCTGTATGCATATTGGCGGCAGACTAGAGTACAGTAATATATATATATATATATATATATATATATATATATATATATATATATATATATATATATATATATATATATATATATATATATATATATCGCACTTGCACGACCATTAATCTAGATAACATTTCAGCAAATTTGCAGTGCATATAGATAAGTCATCAGCCGGGCATTGCACCGATATTCACTAACTAAACTTCGAAACCATTGTAATTCCACAAATGATGAAACACGAAGTTCATCATGCACGTTGTTGTTAATGAGCTAGTAATTCACACACAAAAAAAACATAAACAGAAAACCAGCCGGATAAGTTGCTTGTGGAGCAATTTAGGCGCCGTGGCTGCAAACACAAGGTTGATATGTGCCCTTATAGTTCGTTTTGTGATGAGTGATTGTCAACATGATCCACGACCTAGGTTAAGTTTGTGAGCTAACCATGGCATGAGTTGGGTTGTGCGATATGTGTCTTGGCTTGTGGTGTGCAGGTGTGAGTTCAGAGGCGGTGGTCGCCGGCGAGGTGAAGGTCAAGTGTGGACGTGCCGTGCCGATGGACCGGGAGTGGCGAAGAACCGACGTGAGGCTTGGATTAAGGGACCAGGAGGCCGGGTGACCAGCCGCGGTGGCTGACATCTGGGACATCGACAAGCGCAAGTGTACATGGGAGTGACCGTGTTGACCGAGTCAAGACGGCGGACGTGCGAGTCGAGCGGGGCTCAGGAGGACTTGGCGGCCGGCCAGTCGAGGACGGTGGTGACACGTGTCGAGTGGTAGGGACGCGTATCGAGTATGCTACTCATGGGCGGTTTGGTGGTTTGGGCCTCAAAACCATCAGTGGCCGGTTTCACGGGTTTGGGCCTAAAAATTCGAACGGAGATTCCGAGGCGGAACGGACGGCACGTGGCGGCATCGAGGAGTTTGCGTCGAGGCGAAGGTATCTCATGAAGGGCGCAGTGTCCGTCAGATGAAGATTACCTCGGGTTGGACCATAGTGCCCTCAGGTTAAGTGGTTCGACTCAAAAATATCTAAGGGCAAAACTGGGATTGTGTAATATTCGTGTTAAATAGGATGAGGGAGCTCCCATCTCCCTCACCTCTTTCATTTTTGCTTCATCC